GGGGAGGTACAAAGTGGGCACATAACACAGTGTCTGTATCATATAATGTGCTCCAGTGCAGCCAGCAGTGGTCCCAAACCCAAGAGTGAACATGGTTGCTATGGGCACTCTTGCCATCAGCATCTCTGGATCTGGGAGTTGCAATGAGAGTCCATGGGGGCAGCAGCAGCATGGGTCTTGCACCCTCCCATAGTCAGGGTCAGCCCCACCAAACACTTGTATCCCAAGCACACAAATCCATCCAGCCCTAAAGATAACTGAAAAACAGTGATCTAGATCCAAGCATGGGGACAGATGCTTCTGCCCACTGGGAGGCTGTCTTATGTAAATGTGAAAAAGTGAAAATAAATTAATTTTAAAAAAAAAGCAATTTTGCCTTGCAAAACATGTTCAGGGACAGAGAAGGAGCAGGGAAGGTCTCACATGAGGGAAACCTTATTCTGCAGGAAAAGCAGGTGCATGCTCATGCAAAAAGCACCTGGAGAGGAGGAGCTGTGTGGCACTGAGTTGCTCATGTGCTGTTTCCTGCACCTTTCCTGCCTACACTGCTCCTGACCTCCCATGTGTTGGTGCCCCCATGCAGAGACAGATTTGGGTGTCCCCTGGCTTGAAGTAGGTACCTCTGAGCACTGCATCATGCTGGAAGCTCGTGCACTTCTTAAGTCTTGTATTTCCTATCACTGCAGAGAGGAACCTCGTCGTAATAAAAATCTGGGCTCCAATCCTACAAACACTTATGCCTGAGCTTAACTCTAAGCACGTGAGCCGTCAAAGGGGACCATTCATGTGCTTAAAATTTAAGCATGTGCTTAAGCGTCTGCAAGCCTGGAGTCCATCAGCGTGGGGATTTGTGCACTAAGCCCATATTCTGAGTCATTATCCTTTTCATGTCTTCTCCGGTATTTCAGAAGATGCTTCAAAGAGGAATTTTCAAGTTCTTCAATAAACTTTGCCTTCCTGAGCAGCCGGGATTCCTGCCTATTCTATGGGGCAATTCTCCCGCCCTGCCTCCCCTCCCCCTGTCCGCGATAATCCGGTGCTATTTCATGCTTGGCCAGACAATTAAGCCCTCTTGCTGCTTGGCTCTGTCTTTGTTATGTATAATTGTTCCAAATAATTAGCCACTATTGCACGCTATTCTGAAACGACTTTGTATTGCAATTATACTTAGATGGTGAGCATCAGTTGAGGGAGAATCCAAGCAGCAGACAGCCCAGAAAGACAGGGCTGGCTGAGATGCTGCTTGGAGCTGCTCTGCGGCGGTGGGATCTTGTCCAGGTGTCACCTGGCTGCCACCTCGTGGGTGCTGCCCACAGTGCAGCAGGTAGAGCCGTGCTCGCTGCCATCACCTCCATTGGGATATGGCCAAGTGGATGGGTTGGACATCTCTGGGCAAAGAAGGCAATGCACCGAAGCTTTGGGATGTGTTTGGGCTCTGGGAGCTGAATGTTCCCAAACTGGGTCTTTGGGTACTTCAGGGATGGTGGAACGTATGATTCCCAGTGAGGAGATGGGTCCAGCAGCCCTGTTTGCTAACCTGCAAATGTGTGTCTGCTGCGGATAAGTGCCAGATGGGGTGCTCAGGAGTTACATCTCCACGTGAGGCATCTTTCTGAAAATCAAAATGACGTGGTGCAACAGTGTCACCTTATTGATACTCAATCTCTTGTCTCTCAAGCTGGGAATATCTGAGAAGGACATAACCAGAAACATGGGTTGGTCTGATCTGCACTGGTAAATTAATTCCTCCAACATCATACTCTGTTTCCTTCCAGCCAGCAGAGCTGATGCAAATTGGAAAAGAGCATTCCCAAGCATTGTACATAACCAGCTCAGGTGCACCTTTTCTCCATGCAACATGGGCCAGGGCTGCTTCTTGGTGTTGGGTGTTACAGGGTTACTTCAATACATTCATAAAAGTCCTATTGCAATGTTACAATTTCTTAGTCTCAGTGATGAGACTGGGAAATAAATAATCTTTGATGCTCTCCCAGGAGCTTGCAGGTCCCCATTCCCAGCCTGGAGGTTGCATCCCACTTGCTGCTCTGATAAATAACTCTGAGTGAATCCCTTCCCTCTGGTCTCGACTGTGCCCCAAGCCTCCGTGACACCCTGCTGTGTCTCGATGAGGACAAATACTAGAAGGCCACACAAGGAGCACCCTCAGGTCCCCTTGCCCAGCATGAGGCTGGTGAGGGGGAGCTCAGGGGCTCTGTAAGCCCCCCCCCCCCGAGCCGGTCGGGAGCGGCTTCCCAGGGATTTCCACTGGAGGTCAGTGTTGGCCCGAGCACCGGGGCTGTCACTCAGGGCCACCTCGTCTCTGTCCCGGGGTCGGCATTGATGGAGCCCCTGGATGCGTTTGTAGAAGGGTTCTGGGGTGGGACAGCAGCGCCACATTGGCTGCGGGATGTGATCTGGTCATCGCGTCACACTTGTGGAGAGGCCAAAGTCAGGGTTGTGTTGGGTGGTGGTGTATAAGGGAACCTAAATATGAGGGGGTAGAGGTGATGATTCAACCCCCCCCAAAGACGCAATGCTCAGCCAGCCCTTGTTGCCTTACACCGATTTACTCCAAGCTTTCATCAGACAACAGAGTCCATCTCTGCTGGTTGCACTACACCCACCACCCATTGCCCACCACTGGCTGGATTTAAAGGCTCAGTCCTGACCTCTTCCTTTAAGATGGAGAAACTTTCGACCCTCTCCAAATGATGTATTCACAAGGGACAAAGCATTGCATAAAACAAAGTCATTAATGTCTAAACTGTCCATTCCTGGAGTTGGCAGTGGACAACTGGCAGCATCCAGACGGAATCAGACACTACTGGAGGACCAACAAGTCCTTCAAGAAATGTACTCCTGTTACAATCCCAGCTGATGCCCTGTTTGTTTGCACCCAAGTGCTCCCTGGGCTGTTGGGATTTCTGAAGGGAAAACAACTCCTGGTTCCAAACATAAGAGACGTGAATCCACCCCAATTTTTTAAGGGCTACTCTGTGAGAAGGCACCTGCGATGGCCCCATCACCAAACCAATCTCTTTGACACCCTTGATCCCAAAGGATCACACTCACTGCACAATAGCAGAGAGCAAAGAAAGTTTTGCCTCTGGCTTTTTGTGTGTGTTGGATCGGGATGGTTATGCATGTCATTACTTAATGTTCTCTGAACTCCCTGGATGTTGTTAAGTAAAGAGCAGAGGATTTCAAAGGAGACTCGGTTTCACAGCCCAAATCTGATTGATAATTACTCCTATTTCTTTCAAATCCCTCTTTTTCATGAAACACATATACTGAAAAGACACTAAAACAGGCGAAGGGCACAGGCATAAACTTTACAAAGCTTAAAACTACTCTGTCTCAGCACAGCTCATGCTTTACATGACACCTTAATCCTACTCATTTGCTAGATTCACCCTAACTGTAAACAAAGCTTTGAAATGAAAGCTTAAATCCTAGTTGGGATACATTAAGTTAACCAAGAAGACACTCTTAAGGCATTAGTGCAATGACAATCACAACATGAGTGCCAGAGGCTTGTGCACGGGGGGATTAATATCTGAAGGGAGAAGAAAAGGGGTCTGGTCTCTACACTTCGCAGCCTCTTTGGCTAACAGCCTGCAGCGAGGGGGCTGTGTGCTGCTTGTGGGGTGCTGGGGCTGCCTGAAGGGGGCCTCGGGGGACCCACAGCTGGATGCTGCACCCCAACATCTGGGTATCTCAGCATCTGGGTGCTGCCCCCCAGCATCTGGACCACGCACCAGTTTGGGATCATCCACTCTCCCCAAGCCACGTTTTTTTGCTACCACCTATGCAAGGTTCCAGTGGGATTGGGGAAGAGCAGGCTCAGCACAGCACTAGGTTTCCAAGCACCAAGTCTGGAGAACTGCAGCACCACCTGCCCGCCCCACCACCATTTTTCCTTTGCACGGCACCTGGCTCTGCCCTAGGGACCCCCTTGTGCACTGCCAGCCCGTAGCCCCCAACCTGGAGAAAAGCAGCTTCTTCTCTCTCCTTCCACTCCAACGTCACATTCAATTCTTACAGCATGCATAGGATAAAGGAATGAAGAGGCACAAGTGAGAACTCCCACCACGGGGACACAATCCAGCAGCAGGGAACACCTGCCTTACTGCCTGGCTAGGCACTGGGGACAGTCCTATAAATAAACAGCACCAGGATGGGCAGTGAATGCATTGGGTTTTAATTGATGCTGTGCCAAGGGAGGAAAGGTCTGATCTAATTTGGGGTGCTAAACAGGGGTATCACCTGCAAGGGACTCCTGCTGTGCCAATGGAAAGGTACACTCTGCAGCTCCCTGGTGATGAAGAGCTCAACTGCATTCTTCCCACAGCCCAGCAGCACTTAGCTCCCATTCACATTTATTAAAAAAAAAAAACAAAACCAAACATATAAAATAGCTTTAAAAAGCATCGCTAAAAGTACAAGTCCTCCAGTGGAGGCACAACAGCAGCACAGTAACATGAGCAGAGGATTTCCTTTGGTTGGAGCAGGGGAATGGCAGCACTGGACAGGTTGGAAAGAAAAGCTTTATTTTAAAAGTCTTTTCTAACAGTGAAAGTCATTTTTCAACATAGAAAAAAGAAGTAGTCAAGGTGTTTTGTTTTTTCCTATGGGGGAATAAGAGGATAAACACCTTAGATATTGTTTTAAAATTGGTTTAGTGGGGTTTTTTTGGTGACTCATTCCAGTGACGAATGAGCACCCAGGGAAGAGGAGAAAGCCCTTTTCTGGACCATTCCTTGCTTTTGAGGTTCCTGCCCATCACACCATGCGAGCATTGCCTCCAGGAGGAACCTCCTCTCCAACTAAACACAGCTGGGAAAGAGGAGTCAGATTTTGGTCCCCTTCACCGCGCACATGGGGTTGTGTCTGCACACAGTCAAAGAGCAGGAACCTCATCCCACCCACTCAATCCCCACTATGGGGACGTGTTCACACATCCATCCACGGGATCCTTGGCGCATCCATCCTTGGACCCATCACATGTACCGCTCCAGGCCGGTGGTGAAGTTGGGCTGCCTGCCGTAGGCATTGCCGGAGCTGAACTGGCCGAGGGGCGATGCGGGGAGCCCCAGCAGCTGCTCGTTGTGCTCAGGGCAGGCAGCGGGGCGCACAGTGGGCAGCGCCAGTCTGCTGGGAGCCCCGTAGAGCTGTGGGCTGCCGGGTGAGTAGCTGCCCTGCCCTACGGGTAGATGGGGCGGCGAGGCAGCATAGGGGTATGCCAAAGCGTTGGGGCCGGCTCGGCTCAGCAAACCAGGACTGACGGGCTGCGGCTGGAAGCAGGGAGGCTCCGAGGTGCCGGCGGAGCAGCTGGGGGCTAGTTCGGTCCCAGTTAAGCCCAGAGAGGGGTGGGCCAGCTCGGCAGGTGGCGAGGGCTGCAGGGCCTGCTGCCCGCTGATCAGGCTGTCAATGCTGAACATCCGCGAGTGCTGTGCCGGCGGTGCCACCCCGCTTGCGTAGGGATGGAAAACGGTGCCCGAGAGCTGCGGGCTGTAGGCGGGCGAGCAGAGGGCATTTGGGTAGGGGGCGGCGGCAGCCATCGGGCGGACGGCGGGAGGTGGGGTGAAGGCGCTGGAGTTCTGCATGTAGCCAGGGTAGGTGGTGATGTCGGTGCGCTTGAAGCGTTTCCTCCGGCGCAGGAAGCTGCCGTTGTCGAACATGTCCTCGGCGGCAGGGTCCAGCGTCCAGTAGTTGCCTTTTCCGGGGTGGCCGGGCTCCCGGGGGATCTTGACGAAGCAATCGTTGAGGGTGAGGTTGTGGCGGATGCTGTTCTGCCACTTCTTGGGGTTCTCCCGGTAAAAAGGGAAGCGCTCGGTGATGAACTTATAGATGCCCCCCAAAGTGAGCTTCCTCTCGGCGGCGTTGGCGATGGCCATGGCGATGAGGGCGATATAGGAGTAGGGCGGTTTGCCCCGCTGCACAGGCCGTTTCCTCCGGCGGCCCCCGGCGGGAGGCGGCGGCTCCTCGGGAGGCGGAGGAGGCAGCGGGGAGCTGCTCCCGGCACCTCGCGGCTCCGGCTTCACCTGGGAGGTGGGGGTGGAACCCCGGGGAGGCCCGGGAGAGCCGGGGCTGGCCGAGGCGGCGGGGCCGGCCGCCGGCAGCGTGCACATGCCTCGCAGGCAGGGGAAGCCGGCCGCGTTCATATACGGCCGGAGGGGTAGGGGTAAAGCGGGGGGGGGAAGGAGTAAAAGCCCCCCGCCCAAGGGGGAAGGGAAAGGGAGGGGAAGGGAAAAGGGGGGAATGAGCGCAGCGGCAGCACCCGGCTATGGGGAGCAGGGCCCCGAGCTGCTTTGTAATATATAGGGCGGCCGCCCCCCCAACCCACCCCGGAGCCCGGCCCCTCTCCCCGGGGGCCGCGGGGGGGAGGCCGCCGAGGATGGGACCGTTCTCCCACGGGTAAATCCCCCGGCCTCTCTCTGGGGTTTTCTTTGGCAGCGATGCCCCCAGGGGAAATCCGCTCCTGAGCAGGCTGGGTGATTTTCCGGGGCGCTCTCTTGGTTTTTAATTCATTTTTCCTCCGAGGAAAAGATAACAAAACCAGGCGAGTCCCGTCGACCAAAGCAAGGCGAGTTTCATCCCACAGCCGGCCCCCATCCCAAGAGCAGGTAAGCCACTCCCAGAACCCTCGCACTGCTTGGATTTCGTTTTGTTTCTCTCTGGGAAAATCATTCAACCCGGGCCGGGACACAGCGGCAGTGTGAGCTGGAGTTTCTCTGCTCTGTGAGAACCCCGGTTTAATTCCTCTGCAGTCTCCTGGTGAGAGCTGGGTGAGGAAACCAGACAAGGATTTTTCATCTTCCCCGTGAGAGTGGGGGAAGGGATGCACACAGCTCAGGGCTGCCTGAAAGATATGGTATTTTGGGGGTGTATAGGGGCAGGGGGGTCTTCTCCATCACTGTAGGTGGCCGGGGCTGAAGGCATGCACCACACTCAGAAAGCTTTGTTGGGTTTTGGGGAAAACACTTGAAACTCTTCATGTCACACCCTATACTTCAGAGCTGATGGCCAGCCCTGCCAGTACTACAACTGGCCTTGGGCTTCCATGGCATCCTCATCTGCCACTGAGCATCTCCTCTGTGCCTCACACCCCATCTACACTATGGTAGGCTGGACAAGATGGGGGAATTTTACAGCCACGTCACAGCTTGATATACAGCCACACATCCACATCCCATTAAGACAGGTGGAGATGCCTGAGCCATTAATGTGCTGACAGATCTCTCACATCCCATGAGCAGTAAAAAAAACAATAAATCACAACCTTCAACTTTGCATTTTAGCTAGAAGTATTTCCAATAGCAGAGCAGCTAAAAGACATTTTCCAAGCTCTTCTCCATTCCTTTCCTTTAAGCATTTCCTGGTGGTTCTATTTTACAGCCCAAGTTAGAATTCATCATCCAAGTTGTTTCTCACCATCACTTGTTCTCTCACTTGTGCCTGTCTGTGTCTTTCTTATCTTATTTTCCATTCATAGCTCACCTGTTCTTTTTAGGGTTCAAGCAGGGAAACACACGGTCCAATAGAGCCATGCTGGGTCCACTCCTGGTTGGCCACTGATCTTCTGCTAGTATCAGGTAAACTGCCACCATGTCCCTTCTGCCAAACGCAGACAACAACACAATCAGGAAGAGCACTTGCTGTATGTAAAAGTTCTTTCTTTATAGCTTTCTTCTGCTTAAATGGAAGACAGTTCTTCAGAGTGAAGGCAGGAAGTAGAGAGCTTGGCAGGGATCATTCATTCACCTCAGGAGAACCAGGGGAAAAGGACACGGACACAAATGTGTGCTCCTGGAGAAATATAACTTGATTTTGTGTCTGAATTATGGAAAATAACTGCCTGGGGGATGGAAACCTCCAGTTGTGCAGGCTCACAGTGCTGAGATCTTCACGCAGAGACAAAGAGCGGTATGCATCTTGATACAGCAAGAAGCAGATTGAAAGGAAAAAGAGTTAAAAGGTACAAAGCTTTTCTTATTTGGTCCCACAAGCAATCACATTACTCTTTTCCTCTTTATTTTAGTGGCCTAAACATCAGAAAAGGATTTGGAGGTGAGAATGCAACACCACGACTGGGTCTGGAGCTACCTGCACCTGCAAAGGAAAAATGAGATCATCTGGACAACAGGACACAAAGACCCACCCCGTAGGGGTGCTCATAGCCCAAGGCCCTGCTCTGATGTAATTGTATCCATCATCCATCGTGGGAGAAGCCCCCTGTTGGACTTCAGTCTGAATCCAGCTGGTGTGGGGTCACCTGGGAGCTGCTGGGACTGTTCATAGCACTCCCAGCCTCGCAGCGTTGGGGCCCAGATGTCAGACTGGTTTTGACAGATGGATAAAGCAGCAGGGCAGAGGTGGGCAGGAGCACACAGGCAGGAAACAGACCGAGTTGTAGCACTGAGCAAGGAAATCCAAAACGGACAGACACTAATTCCCACACATGCTTTATCACTCGGGGTGATATAGGATAGTAATGGCAACCACGCAAACAGGATGAGTCTCTCTTTACAATGACACAATGCAGAGGGAGTAAACCACACTTTCTCTGTACCTCAGCCACCCTGGGACAAGCTATGGGTATGGGATTGAGGAGCTCTCCAGTTCCTCTCCCACCAATTGCTGCAGCAAGCAACCCAAAGCACCCCCCAGCATCTGAGCTAGGATTTCTGAGGGATGCTGCCATGACACACACCTGGCACTGAAATACTTCAGCAACAACCAAACATAGGTGGGTTTCCTTTGCTGAAAGCTGGCCAGGTAGTACTGCTTTGATATGGAAGCAGTTGGACCCATCTCTATTCCCAGCCTCATCACATCGCTGCCTGAATCCAGTCATGCTCTCAGCTCCCAGGCAGAGAACTCTACAGAAGCTCCCATCACATCTCAGCTCCTCTTTCTTCACAGAGAGTATAGGCAAAGTGTTTACCAAGCTGGGAACACTGGGAAAAAGTGTCCAAAAAAACCCAAAACAAAACAAAAAAACCAACCACCTTATAAGCCACTCTTCACCTTTGTGAAGTCTCTCCCCCAAGATAGCTATCTAAGATTTTCTTCCCAAAATAATACTGTTAAGTGAAGCATGAATTTATTTAAACTGAAGGGAAATAGAAAAAGATTGAAGTTACAGAAAACCATGACTTCCAAGGGCAAAATTTGGTTTTGAGTTTTAGAGATTTGACTTCCATGAACTTCAGTACTTTCTTTACAAGTAAAACCTCACGATGTGAGGGACATCAATATTTAAATTTACTTTTTCTCCTGAAATGATTTATAAAAGTCCATTTTCTGCCCCATCTCCACATCCCACTGCCAAAACCCAAGCACAAGGCAAGACCAAGCTGGTGGCTCAGCAATCCCTCCCACTGCCTTCAACATACTGAGAAGAGCAAAGAGCCACAGTTGTGCACAGGGTTTAATCAGGAACACATAGATATCTGTTTTCATAAAACAACTAAGAAGCCACTATGATTGCTGCAGTGCAATCACAGCACAGGTCAGAGAAGAGTCTCTTGGTGAAGCTGCCCTAACAGAGCACTGCTCAGAGCAGAGCACACCCACGTATGCTCTCTTGTTCATGAGGGATTCCAGCCACGCGGTCCACAGAAATGGTGAAGAAACCATGACACAGCATGACTGGGAACATCCCCTACAAGAGCAGATCTTTCCAAGGAACTTTGGCGTATCGCTTAGAAACCACCCCATCCCATCAGAGCCCTGATGCACACTGTCCAGGTTCCTCAGAGTAGGGAGACTACAGTTTTTAACCTGTCATCCTGCACGGTCATTCTGCAAGGCTCATACGTGAAATTTTGGCATTTCCATCATGGAAACAGGCAACTAGGCTCATTTCCTCCTCTCACCACCAGACTGATTAGCTGCAAGCCCAGGCAGACAGCTGAAATCCCATCTTGCTTACTTCCTACTCACTCTCTTTTTCCTCTGGTAATGCTCCTGCCAGGAGTGATTTCATTCACTCCTAACATAATGGCCTTTTCCCTCCCCTTAGGCCAGGAGCACACCTCTGTCATGGAGAATTTCCCTCTGTCTTGTACCTTCCACCCCATCTGCCTGTAGCTGGGCTGGCAGGTTGGGTTTTTTCACTCTGTTTAAAATGCTTTTGAAACAAAGGCTCTTTAATCCCCCTTGGCCTGGCCAGGCACCTCTGTCAATCCCATCCTGATAGTGCAGGCAAAGGAAGGATCTCACATGGAGATGCTCATGAGGTGGTAGAACCAAGTGTGATGTTGCTTGGAGAGCAAACTCCTAGAACCACGTCCTAACGCCTGGCAGAAGGGACAAGGCCAGGAGCAGGACATCTGCCTCCACATTCCCCAGCCCTTCTGCCCAAAGTGGGGACATCTTGTCTAATATCTGTGCTGCTTGAGAAGTTGATTTTCTAGAGAGGAGATATCCTGGCTTAGATTTTAGAGACCTCATCTGCTTTTGAGAGCATCCCACAGATGATCGATGACTAAAAGTTCACACAAAAGGAAATTTCAAGAAAAGGGTCTTCAGCCACAATAGGCCATTGCTCATCACATAATTTCCCCATGATAAGGCAAGAGAGGCAATTCAGACTCAAATCAGACTGGACAACTGTGAATCACAGCGTTTGTCTCACATTCCTCCTAGCCAAAACTATCCCTGCTCAGTCCTGCTTGGGGCTGGGAGTATCAACCCAGAAACCTTTTCATTATTTTGGAGGTCCACAGAAATCCACTGAAACCTTCTCCACTTCTGAAAAGCTGTGGTCACCGGGATCCTCCACCTGGGATGGGAACCTCCACATCTCGGCAGCACTGGATGCAGGGAGGCAGATGACACCAGCACCAGATCCCATCAGAGTTGGGTGCACAGGAAAAGCAGATTGTAGTTCACCCATCGCCTCTTAGTTCTGGAGATCCCCACACATCACTTCTGCTCCTGCCTCAGTGGATACAAACCCAGCTGCATCTTGCCTTGTCAGGACATGGGATTTGCCTAATTGCTTCTGCTTGGATGAGTCCATGCCAGGCTTGGTCTATCTATAAGAGAGGCTTGGATCTCCAACATCTCCTTCTATTGGCTTTACACTGTCATGCCTGCAGCTCTCAGGGCTGCTCCACAACCCACTTTTCCTGCTCACAACCCTCACCCCACAGCACTGACACTCAGCTCACTGGTCTGCCCAACTTGTGTTAGGAAATCCCATAGGCAACACAGAGCTGGCTTTGCCTTGCAAAGTCACAAAGGCCCAAGGCTGGCAGTTGCTAATTATTCTTTCGCTGCTTGCTGTCTTCTTAAGGAGCTGGGGGCTGGATGTGGGCAGCCAACAAAAACCCAGGGGATGGACAACAAACAGAGCATCAGGGAAAGCTTTTTACCAGGCAGGTGGCCTTGCTGTAAGCATCCTGGAAGACAGGTGCTAGCCCCCATCCCAGGGTTGCCAATCATGTTTCCATCACAAGTTTTTCAGATGGGCAAGGATTTGTTCACATTTCATCATTATTCATTTTTTTTTTTCCTTGGACCATGGTTGAGAAGCCCTGGTTGCAAAGCTCAGTGTGAAAACCACGATCCTTCTTGCACAACCCAGAAGGCAAAGAATGACCTAGCATTGCTCATGGTGGTGAAAAAGCAGATGGATGGGATGGATGCCCCATTTCTTTTTGAGCTAATCTCAAGAGTTCGGCTGCCTGAGAGAAAAGCCTGAAAAGCTTTGGGTCCATGATGGCCAGCTGCCAGGAGCACAGCCCAGTGTTGGCCAGAGCCTATAGAAAGGATGTTAGCACAGCCAGACTGTGGCCCTTGGCTGCTGTAGACACACTGTCATCTCTCCACCAAAAGGAGACCAAACAACTAACCAAACAGCAGCACATATCTTCCATCAGCAGGCACAGGCGCAGCAGACATCGAAGCCTTTGCTAAATGCACTCGTGGGCCACCAGCTGAGAGCTGGCATTGGGCTAATTACATCAAAATTCATTAAGTCAATTACTGCCTGTGTTCCCAAGGGGCTGAAGAGGGATTCCAGCAAGTGCTGAGCACACTGCAGCAGTGCAGTGCCAGGAGGCTCTGTCTCTTTCAGTGGCCCAAGCAGGATGCAGTCACCATTTCCGTCCTATACTTGGGGATCTTCCCGACAAACCATTTGGGAAGCAGGATGGGAAAGAGCCTTAAGAATTAGGAAACCACTGGAGGGTATTTTTCACGTGGGACATCTTTGCTCAACAACACAGAATGCACCTGAGGAGATGACAGCTGCTGACCATTGCTAAACAGCATCACTTGGAGAGGAAGGATCAGAAAAGAGGACAGTACGAGCTTATACCCAACACTCCCACCTCCCCACGTTGCCTTGGAGGTGCATGAAATCATTAACCTGTACAAAGGGACAGACGGGGAGCATCACTGACAGATGCCAGCACTTCTGGCTGCACAGCTCTGAAATTATGGGACCAGAGCTTTGAGATGCAGCAGAGCACTGCAGTGCACTGCCAACAGCCCACACCAACAGCCACAGACCAAAAGGCAGCAGCCACATCACCATTGGCCTGGGCTTCACGTGTCACTGATTGACTCAGGTTTTAATTACACCCCAATATCCCCCTGTCTCCTACAACACAAAGCTTTCAGCCAGGCAGAGATTCATAAAGAGCAGCAGCAACCACAGCAGCCCAGCCTTCAAGTCAGATGCTAACAGCTTTGGACAAGTGTGGGATTTTTATACCCCTATCTGCAGAGAAATCTGATGTTTAGTGCCCTGACTGCAAACAGGTCACCCTTAAACCCCTGAACATCCCAGGCAAAAAAAAGAAAAAAAAAGAAAAAAAAAAAAAAAAAAAAAAAAAAAAAGAGGAAAAAAAGCAGTGCCGGAGGGGAATTGTACTGGCTCTAATCCCTTCTGCCATTCTGCATATTCATGGAACATTGTCATAACACATCAGCAGGACAAAAGGTCTGTCGGCACCTCCTCCTCATGCCTTTGATAAACCACGAGACAAATGCTGAGTAAACACTTGGAATCCATTCACTGCCCCATTCTCATCGGGATGAGAAAGTCCTCCTCTTTCTTGCAGGCCCAGAGCTGCTCAGCCTAATAAAGTACGGCCCACGGGCTGTGAAAAGAGAGGCCTATGGATGGTGAAAACATGGATTATCTCATTTCACCCTCCTTGTGTCAGACCCTGCTCACATTTTGAGTGCACTTGGGCTGACACACACTGAAAAAAAAAAAAAATAATTAAAAATTTAAAAAATAAAAAAAAAGGAGAAAAAAAAAGCCAGGGGGAAGAGGGTATTTAGAGAACAGGAGAACTGTCTGTAAAATTTCACAGATGACCTTTCCCTAGTGGGAAAGTGATTTGTTCCTGCCCCATGACCCACACCAGCCATCACCAGGAGCTTTCACATCCACATCAGCATTTCCCTAAACATTGTGGTGCCAGACAAGAAAAAACAGCACAAAACTGAGCTCATTTCAAGGCCTCAAACCCTGAGAAGTTCACGGGGCATTGCCAAAAAGTGAGGTTGTGGCATAAGATGTCCCATGCTTGGAACCAACCAGCTCCATATCTACAGGAGTGTGGGAGAGCTGGCCAGGACACAGAAATGATTAAGACTGGAAAAGGCCACTAAGATCATCCCATCCAACCATCCCTGTTCCACCAAGGTAACCTTGTAACCATGTCCCTAAAATGGAGCATGGAGCAGAACATCTCCTTCCACTACTGTCCCCACCCCCATGTGCAAGAAGGGAGATCCACCACTGCTTCTCCACGTCGCCAATATCTTCCAAATCAATAGAACAGTGCTCCTAAACATTGGGTGACTTCCACAAAGTTGCTCAGGACACCAGTTGCCAAAATCTCCACTGTGTGCTTCCAACACCTACAGCAAAAGCCTCGGCTGCCCATATTTCTGGAGGCTTGGGCTAAAAGAGACTGCAATAAAACAAACAAACAAAAACTTCAATGACTCCAAACAGGGTAAGGAACTGGCTGTTTGAAAGCAGTCATCTGAAAGAGATATTTTCCAAGTAAATACCATCCTTTATTTGGAAGAACACGAGTGGTTCTCAAAATGAAAATTATCTTCAGAGATAGTAGATGGGGAATGAGCACCAGAAATGCAAATACGCCCATAATAGAAAACAAGAAATGGTTCTGAATTGCTGTCAAATGATTAAGAAACAATAAAAGTGCCGTTGATTAATGAGGGCCTCTTCTTTTTTAAATAAGTGGCTTGTAAACCTGTCCACTCGTTGAAGGATGAGGGAATTGGCTGTAAACAGCACATTCAATGCTTTTGTTTCTGCAGAACACTGAAGTTCATTGGTCTTTCAAACAACTGGCAAAAAAAAAAAAAAAAAAAAAAAAAAAAAGAAAGACCACCGGCAGCTCTCCCTTGGCCTGGCACACCGCTGGTGAATGTTACAATTCAACTGCTTCACAGCGTGTTTGTCACCCAGCATCACAGAGGAGCAGCGAGGCGCTGGCTGGGAGCAGCATCAGACACCCCAGGCAGTTTGTGGCTGCCATCACCGAGCAACAGTGATGCAAAAGCAAAGCACGGGGCTCGCAGGGCTTCCAGGAAGCTGTTTGCTTTGCTGCCCAAAGCAACTTCCAGGCAAGCCCATTTTTGCACATATAACAGCCACAAGTGCCCAGACCCAGTGACCCCGATACCCTCATTCCCACCTGTGTATACTAGTCCGATGCAGCTATTTCCTTTGCCAGATAATGCTTTTTTCCCCCCAGTCGCTGCATTTAGAAAGGAAAAAAAAATAAATAAATCACATATTTTAAATCACCAGTGTTGCTATGCCCAGATCCTCTGAGATTACTTAAGCACATAACTCTCATTCACTTCCAAATGATCTCAATCGTCTTTGGGATGTGAGCCTCAGAGCTCAGCGTTTGGCGTTTCTCACAGACAGGAGGCTCCGGACAGCTTCCCTGTCTGCTCAGCCAGGGCCCCAGCCTGCAGGGCTTTGGGGCTGGGAATTCAACCACACTGGTCATAAACACAAGGTTTGGGCATGCAGAAATAGCGCGTAATCTTTTTTTTCCCCCCTGTGATCCACCATTGGCAGCTGCTGCCATGCATCCCCAACCAGCCAACAAGCCAACTGGGGTCTTTCCTAACCATAGCTGCCCCAAGGGTGGGGGACATCATGGCTCCCATTCCTTAAACCAGCAGCACTGCATCCCAGCCTGTTTATGCCACTTCCAAGGTGCCTTTTGGAAGGGTCACGATTTGGTCTGAAGATTAACAAGGATTTCTTCCTCCATCCATCGAGGTAGGTTTGACGGGTTGACAGTTGGACCGGATGATCTCAGTGGTCTTTTCCAACCTTAATGATTCTGTGATTTGGTACAGCCACATCCTGTCAGCAGGATGGGGTCAGAGCACAGAGCCTTACACTGACAACGTTCCTCTGAAAACCCAATAAGTAACTGGGGGATCTACTAAGAGGGCTTGTCAAAATCAATCGGGGTTAAACACCTTTAGCAGCAATAACAACCATCTGACCCTGAGCTACAGAAACTGCTGCTCAGAGGGACCCCGGGGGGTTATTCCTGGCTTCCCAGTGCTGTGGGACAGATAAAAGAGCAGACGATGCAGAGCTGGGTAATCCATTCAGCCCAGCCTGGCCGTGCACTGAAGTGACAGCTCCTGGCATTTCTGCAGAGCTGGCTCCTCCTGGGAATTTTGTGCAGAGGGGGACAATTTGCCCATCCAAACCTGGGCGAGCAGTTTTCTTAAATTCAATTGCCTGAAGGAGAAGGCAAATAACATTTAAGCGGAGGAAAGGGCATTAAAACCACATCTTTGATACAATGGCTGATGCAGCCCACGCTGCCGACGCCTGAAATGATAATATTTTTTTTCTTAAATAAATAGTTCAGCAGCACAATCCCAGCCTCGCCAGCATAGGGAGGCCACGGGGCTGCTGTTAAACTACTGCACACTGGGCTCGGTGCCCAGGCTGGGATGGCTCAGCATGGACATGCAGATGGACTGCAGAGTCTATTCTGTACTGAGCTCCCAGACATCACTTAAGGGTTGAGTTGGCCATCAGCTCCAAGGAGGGAGTCTGAGAAGGGCAAGGTGAGCAAGGTGGGGGCAGAAAGGGAAATAAACATTCAGGATTCGAGGTACATGACAATGAACAGACGATTCTGCAAGAAGGAACAGACTAAGCACAACTTTCCTCAGCACCAGGAATGGCTGCCGCCTGGGAGGATGTCACACCACAGAGACCTGCACTGTCAACACCAATTAGCTCAGCACACGGTTTCCAACATTCCTGCTTTTATTTTCCTATTCTTGCAGCCCACCATGATGCCTCATCTGCTGGAGCATAGCAATAACCATCTCCCCATGCATTTCACATAGAGAACCATCCCCATGGATCCTCTAGTATCTAGCACGTCACACATTTAGGCATAAGTGTCCATATAGGTTGAGTGGTAGCAAAGATCAACCCAAAGAGCAGACGAGGAAGACCTGGCACAGCCTCAGCAGGGACAAAGGGAGAAACAACATTTGCTTCTGCACCTTCACGTGGGCTCACTTTTATCCAAAAATAGTAAGCACAAAAGGAAATTCAGACTGCGTGGCACCACTCCATCTCTATCCTAAGGAGCCCAATTTCTAAAGAAAGTCTCTGACTGTCATCGGCCAAGGGGTGCATTGTCCCTTGGAGCAGGAGCTGGTGCCACCGAGGAGGCATTCAGTCTAAATTAACTCTCCCTCTAATACCTGAGCAAACATTTTCAGCTCGAGACTTAATATCCCTGGACATGTCTGCTGTCTCCCAGGTGAATCCCCAGATAAAAAAAGGTCAGCCTGGCTCTAATGCGGCTGTAAAGGGCTGTCAGTCAGCCCCAGAACTCTGCTTGCAAGGTCAAATGAGTTCTGAAGGTTGCTGGGGCCAGACCTGCCCTGTCACTCATTTTAAGTGCAGGGAAGGTTTGTTTTCTCATTACAATGTCAGGTATCCCAAATTTAGGATTAGCTGTCAGCCACCACAACATCATTGTTTCAAAAGAAATGAAAAAATAAACACATGCAAGCACACATCTCCAACCTCAGCTAATTCCACATGCTGAGCTTGCCTGCAGGTGGGTGGTGAGGAAATTCGTCCTTCAGGGAAGGAGAGCAGGGATGGTCCCACACACACACACACACACATACACACACCAGCAACCCCAAAAGCACCTTCCTTCAGTCAACAGACATGCTTGAATGATGGCATCTCCACCAAACCATCTACTGTTGAAAAGGTGTCCATAGGACCAGGGCATCCTCTGTCTGACTCTGCCTTGGTGTCATGGCAGCATCCCTAGTGCCACATGTAGTATAAGTGGATCATCATCTTCAAACCCCACTGTCTCCATCACAAGATCACTTGAGATTGTGCCTCCTGTACTTAGCCAGGCTGGATTAGGGGAACTGCCCACCTGAGTGCTAGGTGCTCTTAGGAGCTGATGGCACTGGGTGGTGACAGAAAGCATCCTGCATCCACCTAGGCAATGCTTACAGATTAAAAGCATCTTCACTCGCAGACCATCTCTAGATTTTGCTCGTATGTGTGACTGTATGAAGTCTTAGCTTCCAATATAAAATCATATTAAGAAATTGCCTGCAGCTCCATGTTTCCTGCTGCATCCCCAGAAGTTTTTATCCTGCAGCACTGGTTATTCAGCCAACTGCACAGCCTGATAGAAGTCACAACTGCACAGCATAGGGGATGGCCAACTGCAGCATAGCTGGAAGCAGCTGGGCC